CACACACACCACACACACACACACACACACACCACACACACACACTCTGTGGGGAGGGAGAAAAAGAATATCAAATCACCAGATGGTGGCAAAAAGGAAGCAAGATGGGGAAACTGTGGTCGGAGCTTCTACAGACAGGGACCAGGGGTGGCATCTCTGCTGAAGGACGTGGATACCCCAGAGAAGGGAAGTCCAGGTAACAGGAATGGCTAGTGCCAAAGCCCTGGGTGAGACTGTGCCCTGAGGTCACTGAGGCCAGTGAATGGAGGGAGGGCTGGGGCTTGGAGCTTGGCCAGCCAGTGGCGCTGACGCCAGGCCCCTGTGTCCCACCCACAGCCCTGCTCCTGGACATCATGACGGTGGCCGGAGTACAGAAGCTCATCAAGCGCCGCGGCCCCTACGAGATGAGCCCTGGACTCTTGGACTACCTCACCATGGACATCTACGCCTTCCCTGCTGGCCACGCCAGCCGTGCCGCCATGGTGTCCAAGTTCTTCCTGAGCCACCTGGTGCTGGCGGTGCCCTTGCGCGTGCTGCTGGTGCTCTGGGCCTTCTGCGTGGGCCTGTCACGGGTGATGATCGGACGCCACCACATCACAGACGTCATCTCAGGCTTCATCATTGGCTACTTCCAGTTCCGCCTGGTGGAGCTCGTGTGGATGTCCTCCAACACCTGCCAGATGCTCATCTCTGCCTGGTGAGCCAGCACCCACCGCCCATCCGGGCTCGAGGCAGAGCTGGTCCCAGAGAGGTGGCTAGAAGCAGGTCAGCGGGGAAGGACTGAGTCCGCTTCCCCGTTCTGGCTGGAGGCTGACTTGTTCGTACTGTGGGGCTTCCTGTCCTTTTCGCTTGGACTCTGAGGCAGCCAGGACGACTCACATGGGCTGTCGTGCTTAGCCTCGATTCCTAGTCTGAAGACAGTAGATGAGAACAAGATGGCCTTAGGAGGGACAGAGTCTTGTCCCTTCGTCACCATGACAGCGGCTGTACTGTGCTACCACACTACAACACAAAGCTCAGTGAAATATTCCCACCTCTCACCCGACATGGGTGCCAGTCCATGGGTGATCACTGACAGCTTAGGGTGCCTGGGGCCCAGCCTGCAAGATACTTCTGGGGAAAGGCTCTGGTGGCCCAGTGCACTTTGGGAAGTACTGCACGCTGCCCTATAGTAGATGTTCACAAGGGCACAGCTTATTTGTAAAGGCACTGATGTGTCCTCTAGAAAAACCAGCTGTTCAAGCTGTTTAACTCAGCGTTTCCTAAATTTATTTCACCACAGGAGTCATTTCTCCAGGAATAGCTCTTAACCCACCAAGAACCCAGTGAGTTTGGGACGCTACTGTCCAGGAGCCAAAGGGCCTGGGCCATGAGCTGGCCTCTCGCACAGCACCCAGCCCTGAAGCCTGGGGAGAGCAGGTGTCCGTGCCAAGACCTATAGAAGACTCCTGCCATGGTCTCTGGGCAATGGCGCAGCTTTGGCCCCCAGGGGCCGGACTCTGTGTGACCTAATAGGTCGTTTCCAAGTCAGCCACTTATGGATGCGCATTTCATGTGACAATACAGTGATGTGCAAAGGACCATTGTCCTGTGTGGTTTTGTTTTTTGTTTGTTTGTTTAGTTTTTCTAGACAGGGATTCTCTGTGTAGCTTTGGAGCTGTCCTGGATCTCACTCTGTAGACCAGGCTGGCCTCGAACTCACAGAGATCCGCCTGCCTCTGCCTCCCGAGTGCTGGGATTAAAGGCGTGCGCCACCACAGCCCGGCTTGTCTTGTCCTGTGTGGTTTTTAATGTGTGGGATACAGTGGCATTCCCTGGTGGGAATAGCAGTTTTCTCATCCCAGATGTGCCCAAGCCACTGGTCAGGGGACCAAGAGGGCAAAGGTCCCAAATAAGGGCAGCCTGAGCTGCTCCTGGGCTAGTCCGGCTGTAGTGTCTCCTGCAGGCCACCTCTGGGGCTTGGTCACAGGCACTGCCCCTCTGCCCGAGGCAGGGTTGGGGACTTCTTTAGTGGTGCAGGAGTCTGACATCCCCTTCCTCCAGCCTCCAGCCCTCCCAGGGCTCCTCCCTCAGTCCCAAAGGCTAGATTTCTGTCCCCTGGAAATGGACTGATGATCTACCAGCTACCATGAGGGAGGGCGAGGTGTCAGTCAGAGCATGGGTGCCAGGATGAAGCTCCCAGAAGTCGAAATCTACGGGCAGACGGAGGGGATGTGAACGTGAGCCAGGATGGAGGGACGAACGTAAGGCAAGGTACACAGGCTGGAGACCAAGCCTGGCCTTCCTCAGGCCAGCTCGGGCTGGGGAGAGCTGGGGGCCACATTGCTGGGGCCAGCACGCATCCTGATCATACACCTCTAAAGCGGGAAGTGATGCCCACTTAGCAGATGAGAACACCGGAGTCCCATGTGGGCAGCAGCTTGCCCAAAATGGCTGGTGAGGTACACGGGTGAGAGCCAGCTGCCTCTGCGTGTGGAGATGGCTGCCCAGCCTCGATTCCCCTTGGCATCAGCCACAGCTCTCTATGCCTCTGCCATCTCCCATGATCCTCTGCTCAGGCCTCTGTATGTTTTTGTCACCCCAATCCTCTCATCTTAGAACAAGCCATGTTGTCTCTCAGCCCCTCCTCCAGTGTGGCCTCACCTAAATTTTTTTTTTTTTTTTTTTTTGAGACAGGTCTCACTGTACAACCCTGGCTGTCCTGGAACTCAATATGTACACCAGAAAGGCCTTGAACTCACAGAGATCTGCCTGCCTCTGCCTCCCATGTGCTAGGTTCAAAGACGTATGCCACCACCAGCCCTAAATACTTTTTCTTTTCTTTTTCTTTGAGACCAGGTAGCCCAGGCTGAGTTTCAGGTCAGCCTGTAGCAGACGGTGACTTTGAATTTCTGATATTCCTCCTCTACCTCCCATGTTCTGGGATCAAAGGCATGAGCCACCATACCCAACTTACTCAGTGCTGGGGATGGAGCCAGGCTTTCTGCATGCTAGGAAAGCTCTCTGCTAGGAGGGCCCATCCCAGCTCTCTAAACATCCACTTTTGGGGCATGGGAGAGCATGGGATTTAGTAGTTAACAGTACTTGCTATTCTGCCAGAGAACCCAGGTGTGATTCCCAGTACCTCACATGGTGGCTCATAACCATCTGTAATTCCATTTCCAGGAGATCCAACGCCCTCTTCTGGCCTCTGCAGGCACCAGGGATACACATGGTGCAGAGACATAAATGCAGGCAAAACACTAATACACATGAAATAATAGAATAAAAATAAAACATACACGTTAACACACACACACACACACACACACACACATACATCTTATTTCCAAAATGGGTTATAAACCATAGGTACAAGAGTTGGGACTTTAAAGCGTTGGGGGAGGGGTATTAAACCTATTATTCCCAGGATCCTTCAAGAGAGGGAAGGGACTTCTCTGTCCAGCCCGCATGGCACTGCTGAGGATACAGCCTGTTCCATCTGAGAAGCAGCCGGGGCAGAGGGAATGGAAGTGGGCTCAGTGTCTGCCAGCTTGCCTTCCGGCTAGGACACCACCTTCCATGTGCTGTCGGTATGCCTGTGGTTTAAGGCCCCACCTGCCCTCCCAAGGCCACCACCTGCCCATCTGAGGGTCGGTCCCTTCTCCGTGTGGAGCCTCCATGTCTCCAGCTGCACTGGGGTGCAGAAGGTCATGAAGACACTCAGAAGAAGCAGGTACCAGCAGTACCATCATGGTGAAAAACCCTCATTCAACCTTGAATCCCGGCTGACTTCAGCATCTTTAAAATACCTTCTGCACATTCCCACGGGTGCTGGAAGTGCCTGGCAGGGTGCTGAGCAGAAGGGGTGAGGGCGTCTTCCTCCATCCTCACCCCCACCCTCCAGGATCAGCATCCACAGCAAAGCCAGATCCAGGAATGGGTGGGGGATGGGCTTCTGCCTACCTACAGGGACCACATCTCCTGGAAGGACACGGCCCTGGGAAGCTACCTCTAAAGGGCTGTGGAGGTGTGTCAGAGTCTTTGAGGGAGTGAAGACGTCAGGAGGGTGAATGGGTACCAAAGTGCCTGATGGGAAGGAAGAAGTCTGGAGAGGCAGATGGCAATGTTGCCAGCCACTGCCTAGAGCAACATCCTGGGTGGTAGCAGCAGCAGCTGGTGCCGGCGTCCCCACTGAGCCTTGGGGTCCTCATCTGTTGGAGAGCGGTGGCATTTGTCCCTTTGGACTGTTGAGTAGTTCAGGGGTGCCCTCCACATGGGAGCGTGGCACAGTCTGGGTTCAGTGTCCATCACAGAAGCGAACCTGGCTGCCTCTGGACTTGGTCCCTCTGACACTCTCCTGTCTCTGGAAGTGGCTGGCTGGCACACAGGACAGATTCTCAGAGGAGACAGAAGAGAGGGACGAAGAAGAGGCCGCTATCCCTTCTGGACCTGCTCATCTACTGTGCTCCTGGAGAGAGCCTGGCTGAGGTAGGCAAGGGGCAGGTGCTTGATTACAGCTGTAGGCCCTTAGTCAGGGACGGAGACAGAAAGTGTGTGTGCACTCGGAATGGTGAACATACCCAAGGAGGAGGAGGAGTCTCCTGCCTTCTGATTTTGCAGAGTTAGACGTCAAATCTAAGGCTTCCCACAAGCTAGACAAGCTCTCCACTACCGTGTTACATCCATTTTTACTTGTTTTAAGACAAGGCCTGCTGAGTTGCCCAAGGTGGCCTGGAAGTCTCCCTGTAGCCCAGGTTGTCCTTGTCCTTGCAATCCTCCTGCCTCAGTCTCCCAAGTGCTGAAATGGCTGGCATGTGTCACTACATCTGGCTTTAGAAGTGGAAATCCCACTGCATCACAGTCCTCTGAGATCATGCTTGACCTGACCTCCTGGATTCCATCCTGACTGGACACGAAGCATGCTGGTAACACGGTTGGACAGTCTTGCCATAGCTCCCAGAAGGCTCCATAAACATGACAGCTCCTCTACACTTCCTCATTCCCACCCGCCCCCTGCCATGGTCCCATAGACCCATGAGTGTCTCTGCACCAAAGCCTGGGCTTGGCCCCGACTTGGGCTGTGCCCTCCTGCCTCCCGCTGTCTCCTTTCCCATCCCACCCAGCATCACCTGTCTGATACCCCCACTGCCAGGCTGCAATGACTACATCACAGAATGTAAAACAGGAGCCCAGAGTCCACCAACACGAAATTCGAGGCAGGCAAGCGTGGGACTTTCACATGTCATTCGGCTCCTGGGCAGATCTGTGAAGGTCTGATGAACCCTGATAACACGTAGGAAACAGGACTGGGCTGAGGCTCAGTGGGCAGAGAGCTTGCCTGGCACACACAAAGCCTGGGTTCGATCCGCGGCACTGCAGAAGCTGCACAGGGTGACGACAGTCCAGGCCCTGGGGAGAGGGAGGCAGGGAGTCACCTGGAACGCTCAGGTATGACAGACCCTAAGGACACTGATCCCTCTGGGCCTCACCAGGTCACAATTACAGACCGAGACAGAGTAACAGCTTGGGCCCAATCCCAAGAGTAGCAGCAATCCCACCATGGGAAATGTGGCCCTGGACATATGCTCAGGATCCAGGCAGATGTCCGGCCTTTGTGTTCTGGTTCTAGGACGTGGTGCCGTCCACTCAAAATCATGACTTCCAATGCTCACCATGTCTTAATCCCAGAACCTATAACTACATCATGTCATATGGAAGTACAGAAGGAGAAGTGATGTCCCCCCACAATTTCATGTGTTGGAATCTCTACCCCAGTGGGGCAACATTAGGAGGAGATCTCAGGAAAGTCATGATGTCAGGAGGGCAGAGCCCCTATAAACAGACCCCAGAGAGGGAGGCCGCCATCGGCAACCCAGCCCAGGACCCTCCCTCCCCAGCCCCTGAGCGCTGAACTCAGCTGGCAAACCTGAGGAGGATGTTTCTGCTGTCTATGGGCTCCTCCACTTGGAGGTCCTGCTGCAGAAAGGCAAGGAGGATGCGGGCAGCAGGTGGAACAAGGCTGCCGAGCAGCTGACTAACCGGGGAGACATCTCTGGAAGCCCCCAGATCACAAGGCTCCTTAAAGTGGAAGCGGGCACACAGGAGAGGCTGGAGTGCCCGGATATGAGAAAGGTGGCCGACTTGATGGCCTGAGGTGCAGGAGGAGTCATAAACCACAGACCGTGAAGACGTCCTGGAGCTGGGAAGGAGAGGGGCTGACAGCTTCCATCTGGCCCAGAAAGACTGGGGTGAACTTCCATCCCACAGAGTGGCAGGGCAGATGTGTATGACTTCAAGCCACTAAGCTTGTGGCCATCTGTTACATGGCCACAGGAAACAGACAGAGACACCTCAGGGCTCCTTCCTCCCCAGCTGCTGAAGAGGTCCCAGCTTCCATGTCATTTTCTCCAAATAACCAACCACCAGGAAATCTCTAGAATCATGCAGTCCAGGGCCCCATTTCACAGACAGGGAAAGTGAGGTCCAGAGCTGTTGAGGTTACCTCATGCCACCAGACGCTCCAGAGCCTGTCCCTCCCTGCCACCCTCCTGGCTCCATGACTCTGGGTCATGAGATAACAAAAGGCCTGAGCTGCAGAGATGCGTCTCACTCCCTGTTTTCATACTGGGGCCAGGACTTACGATGTCACCACTGAGCTCTGCACTCTGAGATTCCATCTAATCTTCAGTAAAGTTCGAATTTGTCCATGTGTGCCCCTGGGCACACACAGCTGGCATGATGTGGTGGTGCGGCTGGGAGAAAATCTCTCAGGAGTGAGGAGTCAGGGGTCTACGGGTTGACTGGCATGCTGGAGTCCCGATCTGAGGGCCTCAGAAGGTGAATGTGTTTCAAAAGAGATGACCAAGTGATCCTTATCCAAACTGATGAAGTGTCCTTGGAGTTAAAACAGACATCTGCACACTTCAGTGACGACAGGACACACCTGTCACTCCAACCCTCAGGAGGCTGAGACAGGAGGATCAGGAAGTTTCAGCCTGGGCTATACAGCAAGACCTTGTCTCAAAAAGCAAAAGCTGACACCTTTAATCCCAGCACTCAGGAGGAAGGGGCAGGCGAATCTCTGTGAGTTCGAGTCCAGCCTGGTCTACAGAGCGAGTTACAGGACAGCCAGGGCTGTTACACAGAGAAACCCTGTCTCAAAACAAAACAGAAAGGCAGAACTGGAGAGATAGCTCAGGAAATAAGGAGTTTGCCATGCAAGACTGAGGACCTGCCCCAGAACTCATAAAAATAATACCCAGGCGTGGCGAGTGCTTATACATCCCAGAGTGCTGAGGGAGCAGACACTAGCTATCCCATCCCTTGTCTAGTCTAACTGGGAAGCCCAGGTACCACAGAGAGACTCTGACTTTAATGAAAAAGAAAAAAGTGAACAGCCCTGAGGAACGACGCTGGAGGTTGACCTCTGGCCCACAAACACACACACATGTGTACACACACATGCACACATACCTGCCACACACACAGATCCTTCTCACACACACATATACATGGGAAAAAAAAGACAGAGACACACGAGAGCCACCACGTGAAGACAGAGGATGAAGGTGGCCCCTGCGAGCCAAAGACTGAAGGAAGCCAAAGGGGGACCCAAGACCAACAGAAATGCCGTGGGAAGTGGGAGTGGAGGATTCAGAAGGGGCAAGGGAGGGAGCAGCGGGAACCGCCCCCAACCTCAGGATCCACTGCCATCTGGCTCAGCAAGGACTGAACATCTGGCCAGGGTTTGGACAAAGGCATTTATGTAACAGTGTGTGCTCGTGCTCGTGGCCCTCACTAGCCTGAACCACAGACATCACTGGTTCTCCTCCATGACTCTTCCATGCTTGGGAGAAAGAGATCCCAGTCAGGGGCCAGCATGGGGCTGAGCTGACACCACACTACGGTAACTAACAGGGAAAAGCTCAGCGGGTCCTGTCACCCTCATGCCCGCCCCCCAACTCCTGCACACACCCAAGCACACAGGGCATGGCTGAGGGCCTTATGTTTCTCTTATGAACTCACACACAGGGGTCCCAGTCTGCATATTCTACACAGTGTCTAGCTCTTCTGTGTGTGTTTGAGCACACATGCATATAGGTGTGAATGTGAGCACGCACGCTCATACTTAAAGAGATACACACATATACATGCACATCACACAAACACACACTGGAAAACCCTTAAGCCTCTTTCCTGTGCACATGTACCCCTGTACACATGTGTCTTTAAAGCCATACATATTTATACTGTTGTACTAGTGTGGACATTCACAGTTGCACATGTTCTTGCACAGGTTTACATCCATTCTTAACTGCTTGCCAGAGTTAGCAATAAAAACCCAGCCTGTAAAGTGGGGCACATACACTAATCTAAAGTTCAGTTTCAACTCAGTATCCTGCTTTTATTTGAGACAGGGTTTCCTTTAGCCCAGGCTGGCCTCTAGCTTCCTGTGCAGCCAAAAGTGACCTTGAATTTCTGATCCTCCTACCTCTAGGTCTGGAGTGCTGGGATACAGGTATGTGTCTCCATGACTGGTTTATGCTGTGCTAGGAATTGAACCCAGGGCCTCATGCATGCCAGGTGAGCACTCCAGCAATTGAACTGTATCCTAAACTCAAGAGCCCTGCACTTTATCTGACAATGCTCACATATACATATCACACACATTGCAAGTCCTAAAGCCACCAGGGTCACCAGGACCAGCTGTTTTGCCAGGAGAATTTCAAAGTCTGGTTATTGGCTCACAGCTGCTCCCCGGCCCATGAAACCCCAGGCATCCAGTTATGGTACTTCCCCTCCCCTCCCCTCCCCCATCCCCACCCCCAAGACAGGGTTTCTCTGTGTAACAGTCCTGGCTGTCCTGGAACTCACTCTGTAGACCAGGCTGGCCTCAAACTCACAGAGAGCCACCTGCCTCTGCCTCCCAAATGCTGGGATTAAAGGCATGCGCCACCACTGCCTGGCCAGTTCTGGCTTTTAATAATCTGGCCCCAAAGCTGGCAAGATGTTTCAGTGGGTAAAAGCACTTGTCACCAAGCCTAATGACCTGAGTTCGATCCCCAGGCCTCCCTCACATGGTAGAAGAACAGAACCAGCTCCTGCAAATTGTCCTCTCACCCCCTCATGCATGCTGTGGTATGTTTGTACACTAACTAACTAACCAGACAAGTAAATAATGCAATTTTTGTAATCTTGAACCAAAAGGAAAGAAAGATGAGCATGGTAGTGCATGCCTTGAATCTCAGCACTAGAGAAGCAGAAGCAGAAAAATCTCTGAGTTCAAGACTAGCCTGGTCTACATACATGCATAGTGAGTTCCAGGCCAGCCAGAGCTACATGGTGAGACAGTCTCAGAGAGAGAGAGAGAGAGAGAGAGAGAGAGAGAGAGAGAGAGAGAGAGAGAGAGGAAATGGAAAGAAAGAAACCTGGCCCCAGGATGAGGCTTGCTGGGAAAGGAATGGTCTTCCAGGAGAAGCGCTGTGGAGCCCAGAACATCCCTCCCACCCTCCCACCAGCAGCCCAGCTGTGCAGTCTGGCAGGGGCCCGGCCCCCCTCCTCCAAGCCCTACCCAGGAACCAGGCCTGGAAGAGGGGATCTGGGACTCCTGAGAGAAGCATCCAGAGTCTCAAGTCACCTCAGCGGCTGCTCCTTCAGGCTTTGCTTCCGCTATGCACGTGAGGGCAGTGTGCATGGAATCTGCCCCACAGCACTGACCTCTTCCACCCAGGAGAGGAGGCAGAGGCATGATTGTGAGCAGGGTCCTGGGGCACCCCAAGCTTCGAGTCAGGCAGTTCCGGTGGGGAGGGCTTTGGCCTGCCCCTCCAAAATGACCTGGGTCATCTCCTCTCCCTCTCCTGGAAGAAAGGATTCTATTAGCTCTGCGCCCTGGGCCTGCAGATGTGCAGTGAGTCTCTTGAGAGCCTCGGCAGGAACAGGGAGAATTTCCTTAAGAAATGACGTGATCATTGGATTATTAGTATGTGTTTTGGTTTTTCACTATAACAAATAGAATCTACTCAGGAACACCAAAGGCAAAAAAATATTTTGGTCAGTCCTTTCCAATGTTTTTTTTTCCCTCTGAATTTGTAAAAGTGTAGGCAATTTTTTGAACAACAACAAAAACTATGGAGTTTTGTGATCTACTTTTCCTTCCTGATAATCTGAAATGATTCCTTTACCAACAACTATGCTTTGACTTGTGGTAGCCTGGTTGGGGTCTTGTCTAGGCATCTTTTGTTTGTGATTTTTGTGGTCATTTAAATTTTAGTGTGTGAATGTTTCGCCTGTAAGTATTGTTTTTGGTTTGGTTTGGGGTTTTAAACAGGGTTTTGCTGTATTGCCCTAGCTGTCCTGGAACTCACTCTGTAGGCTAGGCTGGCCTTGAATTTACAGAGATCCGCCTGCTTCTGCCTCCCAAGTGCTGGGATTAAAGGCATGTGCCACCACCACCCAGCTAGAACAAATATTTTCAGGCAATATACTCTTGGTATGCCAATGGGTACTATAAGTAGCCATTTTGTCCCTTTGCCAGGGAATTTCCTTGGACCTAATACTCCAGCCCTTCATTAAGGACAAGGGATGCTGTATTCTCCTCTGTAACTACTTCCTGCTGAAATTCGGACACCAATGTCAGGGTCCAGGAAGGCTGGAATGTTAGTCAAAGGCCAGGAGGGGATTCAGGCAATGGGGCATTCATCAGAAGCATCTGGCTTGCTGACCCAGCTGAAGAGTCGGGGAGAAATCATAGCTACTGGACTGCTTCACATCAGCTTTTAGCAAGTCCAGGGACTTCCGGTTTTGTAGACGTACCTGGGGCTGGGATGGTGTAGATCACTTTTGGAGGAGCTTGTAGTCGGAAGCCGATTTCTGGACGGTGTCTGCCAGCTAAGCTGCACTCTGCCAAGACAGATACAGATCAGGGACAGAATTTAAAGGTAAAGAATTAAAGAAAACCTTTATATTTGGAGCTTCCCTCTCAGGAATAGGCAGTAGGCAGGGAAGCTCTGGCTGATGGCTGACAGGAGCATTTACCTGGAGTCCATTTGACCTGTGAGAGGTGGATTCAAGTCTTATGACTTTCTCGATTCCTGGAAGCTTACATTATCATTGTTTGTAATTTGTCATAACCTATTTAGACTTTATATCCTCAGATGTTTATAATTTAAATTATTTTTAGACCTTTGTAATTTATATAAACCTTAAACTTTTTTATCCAACTATTTACCATTAGATATACATGAGCTGTTGATTACTGAGAGCAGCCTTTGCAAAGTAAATTCCTTTAAATAGTAAAAGTTACATCTGAAACCTGTTCATCCTGTTATATGAAGCCTGTTAGTAAGGCAAACCTGTGTGTGAGTTTGCCTTTTTTATTAGGTGACCTAATTGTTCTAGAAAAGTAAAGCCTGGTTTTTATATGTGAAATGCATTGACCTGGCAGCAGCTGCTGAATTAATGAAGTGCCAGTTAGCGGTCAACACCATCAGAGATCTGAGAAGGATAAATTATAACAGGAAGCACCATCCAAATGGCCTATGTGTCAATTAAAATGGCAGAGACTTCCCTACTACCTAGAAGCTGCCCTGGGCTCCCATGGTCTCGATGGCTTCACTGGGGGCAGTGGACTTGGGTCTTCAGCTGTCATACAGGACAGCATCAGCCTTGGGCTGCCTACCAGACCCATGTCTGAGAAATTTTCCTGTGGAGGAGGAACCTGGGGGACTCACATTACTGTGACGAGGCAGAGCTGAGCAATCAACCCAACAGTGTCCACAGCTTGTGCAGGACCCTGGTGGCAGGCGAGATATGGGGCAGTTTTGCCCAGTGGTTAGCATTGCCACAATCCTGGTGGAATGGTCATGTCCCATCTGTCTTCTTTGGAGTCCCTATGGTTCCCAGTACGAGCATGCCTGGAACTAGAGCAGATGGTTGTGAGCCACCATTCAGGTGCTGGGGATTGAGCCTGGGTCCAGGGCACTCTTAACTGCTGAGGCGTCTCTCCATACCTTTGGGGGTTTTATTTTGTTTTATTGTTTCTGAGATGTTGTTTCTGGCTGCACTCAGCATTGTTTTGTTTATTTAAATTGAGGTGGTGGCCTGGGAAGACGGTTCCGTGAATAAGGAGCTGACTGCTTGAGCAAGAGAATCTGAGTTTGGATCTCCAGTACCTTGTGAAACCAGGCCTGCAGAGGGTGCTTGCCACCCCAGTGCTGGGGAAGGAGGCGGAGACACAAGGATCCTTGTAACTCCCTAGGCAGCTGGTCTAGCCAATCGGTGAGTTTCCGGTTCAGTGAAAGACCCTGTCTCAAAACAACGCACGGAGAGCCAGAGAGACGGGGTTTCTCTGGCTTGAGGTTGGTCAGGCTCTTTTCTTTCTATTCTCTACTGGTTCTGTCTTTTCTGTTTCTCTTTTCTCTTCTCTTGGCTCTCTGAGTTTTGTTTCTCTTCCTCTCTACTGACGCGGCTTCTCTACCTCTCTTCATTGTTACTGTCAAAGTATCGATGTGGGCTGAAAGTCAGTGGGTCGAGCACTGGCCCAGCCAGCACAGAGTTCGGGGTCCCTTCCCCAGCACACAGCTCGGGGTCCCTTCCCCAGCACACAGCTC